CAAACAGGAAACAAGATGCACTATACAACTGTTTATTGCAGATCTAGTCAAAATCATTAAAAAGGGATGAAGGTTTCTGCCATAGAAGGCACTGGGACAACTACTTGTCTGAATGGAGGGGGGGTGATGGAGGGGTTGATTTTTTTTCTTTTTTGACGTATAAAAATGTCTGCTGGTGTTCCACAGGTCTAGGCACAGGCATCCATAAACAGACACCCAGAGGATGAATTGAGTTTAGCGGGAAAATATACAGTTGGGCATGGGTAGCATGGGTAATTTCTTTAGCAACTTCTACATGAATGACACCCCTTCACAATCTTTCTGTTTTTGCAGCTACGTGGCATGTTGTGCACAGGAAGTTTGTGGGTCCGAGAAACTCTGCTGCGGTAATCTCATACGAAAAACACATAGGCACGGAGGCAATATGGCTCGGACAGTATTGACAGCCAGGTGCACATGGTGATGCCAACGGTCCTTTTCCCTGTCACACGCCCTACCTCACCATGTCCCCCTGGCCCTGCCCCTTCCACCAACGTCCCCCAGAGGAGCATGCGCGTATTGCACGGCTAAGCTTCATTACAAATTTCAATACCTACAATGATCTCATTTTACCTTTCAATATTACACTATCTTTTAGGTTATTTTAGCTTCTGAATTTTCGTTTGGTAGAGATTCATCCATTCCTGATGTGACACAGTCATAAAAATAATTGTGTGAATCCAAATGAAGCTTTAGTGCAGGGAGGGGCAAGTTTTCGGGGGATTGTGTTTCTTCTTTATGCATAGTGAAAACATTGGCACTTCACTCCTGTTACTGTGCGCATTGTCCAGAGGCAGCAGATCCTGCCAGTGCTCCGAGCATAATGACGAGACCTCTCTGGCTTTGTGCTCATTCGTTTGGAAGTCAGCAGGTTTTTTAAAAAAGCATTGTGCTGACGGTAATTGTGGTCCTGCATTTCAATTAATCAGCTGTATTTTCCCAAATGACAACTGTGGAGCTTAGGGTGGATCACATGGCTGCTTATCGCCCTCCTAAGTCGACCATAGTTTATGAGATGAGCGGGGTGGTGGTGAGGGGAGGGTTTAGGTAGACATTTCTGCATCTACCTTTTAAGGCGGATCTTTTATTAGGCAAATAAGCAGGAATAGCCTAAAGGAAAGAAGGCCGACAGACGAGTGTGGTTAACGGAGCTCTATGAAGCACTGTTTGTCAGGAACTAGCTATGCCGGACAATGTTTCTCCCACTCCTAATGAAAAAAGGAAAACATTCTCTGCTCTTTGACTCTATCTGCAAACACCACAGAGAACAGGAATTCCCTCACTACAATATGCATACAGTACATTGTATTATGTACAACAATGTTAAAAGCTTTATCATTTTTGAACAATCATTTATTGTACACTGTCATCTTATTTTCAAAATTATGAATCTTATTTGAAATTTAGCATATATCAACACACACTCAAATGAAAGTATATTTAAGAGACTGCATCATACCAGGTGGCATCCTATGCTGATTTAAGCTTTAAAATGTGTGAGGAGTTGTCATGGTTGCCAGAAGTCAATCTCACAACCTGATCCTCTAATTAGGGACATTTCTTAAAAAATGCCATATGACCATTAATTCACACCGTAATTTGAGCTGGTTGGGTTTGGATGCAGACCTCTCTTGAATTAAATCGATTACTCATGTGATATGATTATGGAAAAAGAGCAGTTGTGTAGCAAGTGGACTCCAACAAACACTCCCCTTGTCCTGTGAAGGGTGGGTATCTATTGTGGATACAAGTGCTTCTGCACACAAGTGTGCATATGAGAGGTGTGTGTGTGTGTGTGTGTGTGAGAGAGAGAGAGAGAGTGCGATGTGTGCTTTTATGAGTGACAATGCTCCCTCAGTGGGAGGGCATCCATGGTTTTTTTGTGTGCAAAACTGGCTGGTCTCAGTATGAAATGGTCATGTTGCTTAGTTACCGGAGAGGCTGCTCTGCGCAGGCAGAGGCGTCAGAGCAGGCCCCTCCCCCTTGGTGCCCGCGCTATCAGAGTGGACAGAAAACACAAGACGACTTGGACCCGTGCCAACGGAGAAGAATGCTCTGAACTGGGGAAACAGTTGTCACAATCCCTCCGAACAGAAGAATCTAATCAAATATATATTCCGAGAGATTTTATACCCCCTCTATGTTTTTAAAACAATTATTTATTTTAAGTACTGTTGCACTTTTCAGGAAACAAACAAAATAATCATGTGTAAATTTGTAGCAAGCAATAATAACATTGACCATAGTCTTCATAATAATCATAAATAATAGTTACATCTATACAATCTATAAATGTACTGTCTTGTTTTGAGGAAAAACAACCATCACACGGGTGAAAATGGAGCCCGAATGAGGATAAATTCAGGTTAACAGTACAATTATGAATTAAGCCGAAGAGAAGTGGTAATTCCCTTGTGCTGGGGCAGGGGAAAAAGGGGGATTCACACAGTCAAAACACCCAATGGCTTCAAAGACTTCAGAAAGAAAGAAGAAGAATAAAAAAGAATAGAAAGGAAGGAACAACTAGGCCATCCCAGAATAGCTGGGGTTTCAAAATAGGAATGCTACTTCATACTTCATCCATTGAAAATGGGGAAAACAGAGCGGTCTTTACTCATGCAGAAGCTCCTGCAGACAGTTGGGGGATTTGAATATCTCCGGGACCTCACTGTCCAGCTTGCAGATGACCTTGTATATTGCCTTCTTCCAGGAAGGATCAACATCTTTGCCGGCGACGATGGCATTGAAAAACTCCCGTAACGTGATCTGTGCCACTTCCAGGAACCGCTCCGGAACCTGCTGATACACAAGGAGACAATGACATTAATAAGAGTTTTACGTTTCGATCCCCAAGTCTCCCATTGACCAAAGGAGGCTGGACTGGGCTCCTGCGAGACAGGAGATGGGCCTTAGGAGGCGGTCGGGGGTGATGGGGTGGGGGGGATAAAAATGGCAGGGGGAGGTCAGCCCTCCGGCACCCTCACTGACAGAGACGGGAGGGAGGGAGGGAGGGAAGAAGGTCAGCTATTTACTCTCTCTCCCTTTACTGTACATGCACACACAATTTCTAAAATTCACGTATGTTCTTTTGCACACTCAATTTCCCTTACAAACCTACTGTCCCTCTGTAACATTGACAAACACACACATACGCACACACGGTGCTGTCCAGTGCAGACTCCCTTCAGTCACTTTACATTAATATACAAATTTTCTCTCATTGTTTGTCCCTTTTATACACAGTCTTTCTTCACACACACAGTGACTCACTCTCTATGGAACACAAAAACACTTAAGAAAATTAAAAAAGGAAAGTGATGACAAGAATAGGCCATTCAGGTCCACCTAGGCTTGTTGTTTTTCCTCTGGAGAGACTCTTCACATAGACAAACATATGCTCTCTCACAGTCATGTTTTCGCACTGGCTTTACTTACACACATATGCACACGCAAATGGAGTCTGTTTCACGTCCACTTTTTTCTCTCTGTTTTGGTCGCTCTCTCTCCAAACCCCCACTGGGTTCATATGTGTACACATATGTGCATCCCTTTCCCCCTCTGTCTCCCGCACCCCTTTGAAACTGTTTATTTTTTTACATGCATGCAGTCTATCTCCTGCTTTATCTCTCTGTCTCTCTCACACGCACACACATACACACACACACGCACACACACTCACTCACTCACAATCTCTCCCCTCCAAACCTCCTAACCCACTCATGTCTCACATGCACACAGGCTTTAAATTACTCCCTTACACAAACATAAATAGTTCCTGTAACCTTCCTCTACGATACAGAAAAGTATAGACATGATGTACTACTACACAAAGTACACAGGTAAACCCCCGGTTTTCTTACACAACATGCCCAATTCACTTGCTCATAGTGTCACATTTATTTACATCCAGGTGCAGGCTTCTCTTTGGGAACCTCTTAGCAACCCATTTGCTCATGTTTATGACCAAAAGATTTTATATTGAGGGGTTAACAACACCACTCCACACCCAAGAGAGGAGCTCCATCACAGTGGGACAGAACAAATACATAAAGAGATGGATCAGATAGCTGGTAATGGGGCTCCTCTGGGGAGCTCTTCTGACAGGAAGTGAGGTCTGTCAGTGTGTGATAGCATTCATCATGTCGGAGCTCCAAACCAGTACCTGCACTGTCTTGTGTTCTTGCTCCAACCAGCTAACACAAAACATTGTTAAAACTTTCCAGAACATTTTAAGACTGTGTAATTTCTGTACTGACAACGACTCTTCAAATGTGTTTTAACACTTTGACAACCAGATAGTACATTTTCATTATCAAAACAATAATTAAATAATTGCTTTTAAGTCAGATGTTGACTAAATTCAGAAAGTACAGAATTAATTTCACACCCTCAGTTTTGCATTTAAGCTTAACACATTTGTTTTCTTTCAGAAGAATGGTGGTGCTGGCTCAGACATGCCACACACATTTTCAAATGAGGCTATGACTGTCACTGTGAGTAGTCCCATACTCATGGTTTTCGCGCTAACTTGCTAAGCACTTCTAGCGGTACTCTCTTTGCAGAGCTGCCCAGCCATTTCTTTCCACTTATCAGGCTTCTGTTGATTGTTGAAGTGGGTTTGTGTGTGTGGATGAATCACAAAGCCCAATAGCTCATCGTCTTTAGATTCTGTGAAATGTGTTTTTGCCTGGATACTGTCATGCATTTCTTTACATGAGCTCCCTTTCTGCTTCTTATTATCTTTTCTCATTGGCTGTTGAAATTCTGTCTCATGAGCCCCACTCCTAAGGTCTGAAATGTCATTGGCTGCTGGAATTCCACATCGTGAGCTTAGTTTGTAAAGCCTAAAACTGAACATAACTCTTGGCTTGCCAAAAAATGACATTTATAATTGCTAGAAACTGAATTGCAGTTTATATGTGCTTGCAAGTATAATTATGTCAACAATGTGGCATGTAGCAGTAGGGTGTTGTAGTGGGTTTTAAATAGCTGGGCTTGTAACCCAATGGTTGCAGGTTCAAATCCATGCTCCTCAAGAGTAAGCTGCTTCACTCAAGTTGCTTCAATGCATTTATCTGGTGTAAGTTGATATGTAAGTACAAGCTGTGCCACTCTTTGACAGCACAGCAATTACAGCAGTTCATTGGCACCTAGTTGAAAAACAAAACAAAGAATGTCAAAAAAACTCCTACCACTGCACTACGCCCAGCATAAACATGAAAGCAGAAGACCAGGAACATATATTAATGAAGAACACCGCCTCAGGGGGCTTTTATATTGCAATTTACTTGCTTCACCTGGTGTAAGATCACACAAAATAACCTGCCTAAGCCCTTTAGGCTTCTCATTGTACCTTCTTTTTCTCCCCTTTGTCTCTTTCTTTCCTCTCTCTCTCTCTCTTTTGCATTCCCTCTCTTTGTCTTTCCCTCTCTCTCCCTCTCTCTCTCTCTCTCTCTCTCCTCTCTCTCAGCCTTCAGGGGTCATTTGTTTGATTATGCTGAGCGTCCCCAGCCTCCACAGTACACAACAAAAGCCTGACATAGCAGGCTGCTCGCCTTCTGTGTCCTGCAGATTCTCATCATGACTGTCAGGACATACCAAGGTTAGTGGTCACTGGAACGGGGCTCGTGGGCAGGCGCTTGCCAAACGCACTTGGCTGATGAATGAATGTCACATGGAATGAAAAGGGGGGGGGGATGGTGGTGGTTGGGGCAGGGGGATTACAAAGGTTATAGATATCCCACCTCCCCTGCTACCACCCTTCCAACCAATTGTCCCCTTTTCAACCCCAAAAAAAAAAAAAAAAAAAAAAAAACCCATCTCACCACTCGCTTTCTAAAACAACAGAAATTATTTTGACAGGACTGCAAGAAGTGCCCTTCTTAAACCCTCACCATCTCCAGAGAGATACGGTCTCTCCGGTATGCGGCCCTTCCCTGGGTACGTTCCCATTTCGCCCTTCCAGAAAATTAAAAGTGTATTTTTTTCTCTTCCTCCAGAAATTTTTGTTAATTTCAGATTACACCTAAACCTAAGATAGGTGGAGATAAATAGATCTGATTTATTGCATAGCCAATGAAAATTTGATTAGATTTTGTGGTGCATGGCTGCTGCATTGCTAAGAATTTTCCTATGAGGAATGTCTCCATCCGTTTTTACTATAAAAGGGCACTAAAATGCTGACTGTAAGAAGAAGACAATGTCAAGGAGAAAAGGGTATTGGTATTTTGGATCCTCTTGACTGCTCGCCTTAGAGAGAGAGAGAGAGAGCAAAAGAGAGAGAGAATGAGAGAGAGAGTTATTCTTGTCACAAACTCTTTTGTCTGCATCTGCTGACTGCTTGCCTGTAGCCAGCAGCATGCTTTAACTGTTTTGTCACCTCCTTGCGTCACGTGGATCAGCTGTTGTGCTTTTGTTATGGCCATTGTAGAGGCTAATCCACTGTGACCACTCTGCTGCTCGGTAAACACAGCTGAATCCCACCTCCGACAATTCTTCATAAATATTTCATCTGCCTTTTTTTTTTGAAACTCTAAATTGAAAGGCAAAAAATAAAATAATGCCAAAGAAGTGCCATCCCATTGCCGAGGCCTTGAGAGAAATCACACAATTAATTCTAATTGCCGGTAACAGGATTCATTTAATGCTCCAAAAAATGTACTGATTGACATTTTTTTTTTAATTGATTGGATGAAAGGATTAAAGTTACAAGGACACAAGACTCGTCTTTTAGAATGTGTTCTGCTTTAGACATGATTACTGTATAAACAGACAAATACTTGCCTTTAATCAATTGAATTTTTTAAAGTATTACTTTGTTTGGCAAGCCTCCCCTGGATAATGTTTGTGAATGTCTGTCCCTGTAGATCTGAAAGTGCCAATTCCCCATTATTAATATTCGTTTCCCAAAAGAGTATTTTGCGTCCAGTGTGACCTGCTCAACAAGCGCAAAAACATGAAACTTGCTTAAATTAGTTACACCCAGCTCTAGAAAAAATAGTTTCTGTTGGACTGATCATAGACAAGAGACTCTCTTAAACCCTGGACTTAATGACGAACCTTGCACTGATTTCAGATGTGGCCGGTAACTCAGGCTATCCACATAGGTGGCATTACGCCACCTCTCATTCATCTCTGACAGAGATTCCCATAGCGACTTTCTCTTAATTTATAGAACAAAAAAAGTGTGTTCTCTCCAGACGCAACCGGCCCTGCATGCCTTTTGTTTTTGTTGTCTTCCTGTGCTGAGCTCCCTGGCATTGTGGCTCCTGCAGCTCTGTTGTTGCCAGGCATTAGAGACTGGTGAACAAGCAGGCTCCAGAAAAGGGATAATGTACAACTCTGCCGCTGTGAAACGCAAGACAAGAGGTAGAGAGGAGGGGGGGCACAGTGGGAGTTGAGACAAATAGCTCCAATACTTCACCCCTGCATTCATTCATTCACCCTTGTGTGTGAGGCAGACCGTCTAAACAAACTCCCACAATCCCTGCTGTTTGCTAGGTAAATATTGATCAAGGAGAGACCTACCTTTGCGATAGATGCTACACAAGCTAAAGACGGCTGCTTGCTGGTTGGGTTGGGGGTTGGGGGGGGTTAGCATTAGCAGCATGGATAAAGACATGAGCTGCTGTATCACTCACCGACAAAAGGCCACCATGGGGAACCTGTCCCAAACTTTCTTTTTTTTTTTTTTTTTCCTGCCATCTCCCTTCTACAGTAAGGATTCTAATACACATAGCTGACTTTGATTTCCTACTACTGTTGTTTATCAGAGTCTGATTCTGAGTCCTTATGCTTTTTACCATAGACCTCATCTGAATCCTTCATGAAAAGTAACGTATTGGTCAATGCCAAGCAACTAGCAACTAGTCCAGCACACTTATTGAAGAACAGCCTTGAGGAGAACACGCATCACATGCTCCCACTGCTTCAACTCTATTCTGGTCTGAACAGTAAGCAGGTGCAGTGCTCCTCTCATGAAAATGACACTGGCAGATATATTCTCATAAGGTGTTTTCCCCCTGGTTTACCTGATGTCTCAACTTTCTGCTGGTTAGGCAATGTGGCTCAGACCTTTTCAGTGGCTCTAAGAGACAGCCCAATGTCAAAATAAAAGCCACACTGTCCAAAATGACTCTAAGAGCCCAATGTCAAAATAAAAGCTATGCTGTCCAAAATACAGAGGTCAGACATCTCCAGCTACATAGATACTCTTCCTACTGCTTCAAACTGAAATATTTCAGATGATTAATTAAAGGGATAGATCTCCCTAAAAAGGCAGATTTTTCATTAATTGTCCAACCTCGAGAAATGTCCGCTGACATTGAAGGCTCTCTGCAGTGCTTCTGTCCAGCTTGTCATAGAAAAACCATAAAGGACTCACAAGGGCTCTTTTCAAAATGAATGGAAGTCTATTCATCAGTAAACTCCACTCCAGAGATCTATAAATCTCTTCAAAATGACAAAAATTAAAAAAAAAAAATGTCACAGTGGTGGTTACCTTTTAAATTATCACATTTTCATTAATAATAATTGAGTAACAATGACCTTTGATGGTGCATCATCTGTTATTATAGATCATCAAATCTATAATTATTATGATTATTATCATTGTCCTAGAAGTATAAGTATTAGGATTCTTACCATCAGTTGTAGTATTAACATTAGTAAAGAAACAAATTTGTGAGAGTGCAGGGCTTACGAGAGTAGGATTGAATTTTCACACAGATAATAGACTGGCAGTCAGCAAATATGCCTCAAGGTCAGGGTTGGAATGAATAAGCATTTTTGTGTGTCATGGAGGAGAAAAATAAGTCACAGCCTGTCTGGGTCTGCGAGGTGGACCCGAGCTCAACTTCAAAAGAACAATGTCCCGTTGAAGAGAGAAACGCACATTAGCGCCGCACACATTTATCTCCCGCAATCAATAGTCTATACAAGCCCAAACCTTCCCTGCTTGATAAACTCTTGGCTGGAGTGTCACTTGGTCAAACAGATAGCAGACTTCCCCCTACTTTGATAAAGATGCTTTCAAAAGCCATAGCTGTGATGCAACCAAGGTTCACAAACTATGCAGCCTTGAATCAGGCCGGCGGGCTTCTGCAAGCATGCTGAGTAAACAGGCTTCTTTACTTACTCCACGGACCGCGTGGAGACCATTTTTTTTTAAACAACACTTTCACTCAACGCCACTGCCACATGTCCGTTTCTCAAGGTGCGTACCTCGGTGCCAAGGACGGCTGGAAGATGCACACAATGGCCGATTGTTTCTTTGTCACAGCATCTGATTTGTGTACGTATCGAACATTTCCTGCCCCCCCGCAAACAACAACTATATTAAGGACAACAAAGTTTTGGATATCAGAAGTGCCTGTTTACACGTGCAGAGTTTGTACACTGCATTGATTCTGCTACTGAAAGTACTCTGATACCGTTAACTGCTTCTATCTTAGTATGTGGATGAAAAAATATCAAAGTGTACAGACTACAAATAGAATATGAGAGAGTCCTAAGTGGTGACAGTCACATGTAATAACCTATCATTTCCAGAATGGCGCTTCCAACACTCCCAATGGGTTAAAAAAAATAAGTAAATAACAATGTGAAGAAGTGCACCAGAAATAAATCCCATACTCTCCAAATAAAAAGGCCAATTACATAACCTCATCCATACCAAATGCCACATACAGCCAGCAAACTGAGCTTCCCCCACCCCACCCACTCCCACCCAGCGCACTCAAAGACACTCTTACGGACCCCTTTCAAAAACACAAGGTCTGGGACTGCTGGAGGGTTCACTGTGGGCTGGCCCAATGGTTATGAAGTCATTTGTTTGTTGCCGCCATCGAAACTGCCCTTAACTCCCCCCAAAAAAAGTGGGGTGGCCGACTGGCAGAAGGACATCTGGACTGAAAGGGGGAGGGGTGAAGGGGGTGAGGGAGGGAGGGGGGTTAAAAAGAGAGAATGGCCTAAGGAACAAAGTGAGCAGAGCAGAAGGAAGGATTCAGCTTGGAGTTGGGCCTTTCTTGTCTGGTG